TCAGATTGTGATCTCACTAATCTGTTTGCACAGTGCTTTGAACATGTAAAGTATTCTGTAAGTGCAGCTTATGATTAAAAGGGCTCTTTAATTCTGTTTTGTCTTGCATGTTGGCATCAGGGGTATTTTTGTGATTTTATTGTATTAAGCAGCTGATCCAAAGGAACGTTTTATTTGTCTGTAAAACAAATTTCTCTGCAAGTTGGGGCTAACACGAAATGAATCAAGCACATCTTTGAATTGGACATGGAAATGTGTAATTAAAGTTGACATTTTTGCAGATTGAAAAAAAAAAATAAAATCAATTCAGGAGCAGGATTTAAATGTTAGCCAGTCAATAAAGTATTTCTGGCTTCTGCAGAAATGTGCAGGGGATTGATGGAATCAGCTCCACAGCTGTGGGAGCCACTCAGAAGTGGCTCCTGGAATTATCCTGGATATTCTGGGGGTATCCAGGTGCTGAATTTCTCCCTGGCCCTGCAGAGTCACCTGGGGGCCTCTGGGAGCTGCAGGATCCCCAATTTCCTGACCTGGCTTGTTCCATGGCTGCTTTATTCCCTTTAGCAGACATTTGCATTGATATTTATAAAAATAATTATTATTTATAAATATAATTTATAAAATATAATTTATAAAAATAATTATTCCTGATTTGCCTGTTTATCCAGATTTTCCTGGGGCGTTCAAGGCTTTGGTGCTGTTTCACAGCCCCTCTGCCGTGCAGCCAATGGAAAATTCATTGCAATAATTGGATATTGTATTTTTTTACAGCTCTGTGCTAAATCAAATCCAAAGCTCCCTGTCCTCGGGGCTGGTGTGGGAGGGAGGGGAGCCCGTGGTGGGTTTTGGGGAGATCCTGGGGTTTCCTGCATGGAAAAGATGGATATTCTGCTTTTCTCGTGCCCTGCCGAGGGCTGTGAATGCCCCTCCTTTTCCTGGAGCCTGAGGGAGAGGAGAACTGGTTTGTGTCTGATCCGGGGCAGAGGAGAGGCTGAAAATCCTCTCTTTATTTTTCAAGTCAGCTGATAAAAACGTAATCTCAGATTTCAGCAGAGCTTTGCTCCTTCAGACAGCTCCGGCCTCTGGGAGGCCTTGCAGAGCAGAGCTGGGTGGAGAATTGGGAATTGCTCCTTCAGGGTTGGGCAACCTGCCCTGAATTCGAATTTTTCAGGACAGTGGGGGTTTATTATCTGTAAAAATAATTTTTACAGATTATTTACCCCTGTATATAAATATATATATATATTTATATACCCCTGTATTTTCAGGGGTTTATTATCTGTAAAAATAATTTTTAATGTCTAGAGGAGCTTGGCAGTTTAATTGATGGGGGGAAATGAATAATAATTATCTAATACTGATGGACTGCTCTGGCAGCAAATCTTGGGGCTTGGGCTCCATTCTGCTTCATTTGCAGCTATTTAGTGAAAGATTCATTAAAAAAAAAAAACTCTGAATAAAAGAAAAAATTTCCCTGACAGAAATTTCTCCAAGTGCTTTGGAGTTTGATGATGCAAATTTTGAAATGTAAAAATTCCTGTCCACAGCCCTCCAGTTTCCCTGTTTGCTGCCAGGTGCTGGCAGCAAGTTTTGTTTTGTGTTTTACAGACAGCCCTGGACCCCAGGTGGAGTTTGGGGGAAAGAAGGGGCAGCACAGGAATTTTAACTGAAAATCCCCCTTCAGGCTGGGCCTGTCCCTGACCCCTCCATCTCCTTGCAGCTGCCGAGTTTTGCAGCACTTCAGAATTCAAATTTGGCATTTGAGGAACAATAATTTTAATCCTTTTGCTGCCTTGTCTTCTGCTGAAATTGAAGTTCTGCAAAAGGTCTGAAGAGGTTTGTGCTGAAAAGAATTTATGATATATTGGTGCTAATGACATTTCTCTCTTGTCCCACCCTCCTCATCCTCCTTTTTTCCTCAGGACTATTTTCCTAGTGCTGTTGTTCTCCCAGTATGCCAGAAATGTCAAATTTCCCTTGCCCATTTATAAATCCAAGAAAGGATGGACAGCATACAGGCTGCAGCTTTTCAAGATGTTCCCTGTAAGTCGTTGAACTTGTTCTTCCTTAGGCAAAAAAAAAATATTCTGTTTTTTTTTTTTTGGGGGGGGGAGGGTGTTGTTGGTTTTGATTTTTCTTCACAATAGAATACTCACAAAGGGTGAGATAAATATTAAATGGATTTATTGGAAATGTAATGGATTGTGGGCCACAGGAAATATTCAGATTTTGTGGCCTGTGCTGAGGAGCTGTGGGAGTGATGGGGAGGGGAAGGGATGTTTGTGCACACAGGGCACAATGGTTTTTAGTTATTTTATTTTTGGTATTGTCCAACAAACTAGACAAAACACTATAAACATTTCTTAACCTATCAGCTTTTTACCACACTACACTATAAATACCTCAAAACCGATCATCTAAAACTACCCCTCATAAATCCTACTGCAATACATCTTTCATAATTCTACTTCTCAAAAATATCTAATATTATTTACAAAACCATGCTTTAAAGCTTCATTCCAACTCCATTTCTCAACAACAGCTATCCTGTTCCATAACATTGCTAAATCAACATTTATCTCAAAATATGTATAGTATGTATAATATATAGCATGCATTTTACCCACTATTTACATACAGCATATATGGGGTGTATTTTATATAATATATACAAGCAGTATCTATACATAATACGTATTTTACACACAAATACATAATCTATATATAGTATTTTACATACTATTTGCATACAGTATGTATACCTATATATGGTATGTATTTTACATACTATTTACATGTAGTGTATATATATAATGTCTTTTACATACTATTTATATACAATATCTATAGTATGTATTTTACATATTAATACATACAGTATCTATACATAATATGCATTTTACATACAAATACATAATCTATATATAGTATTTTACATACTATTTGCATGCAGTATGTATACCTATATATGGTATGTATTTTACATACTATTTACATGTAGTATATATATATAATGTCTTTTACATACTATTTATGTGCAATATCTATAGTATGTATTTTACATATTAATACATACAGTATCTATACATAATATGTATTTTACATATGAATACCTACAGTATCTATATGTAGTATGTATTTTACATACAATATCTAAATATGATATGTATTTTACATACAAATGCATACAGTATCTCTGTATAGCATGTATTTTACATACAAATCCATTCACTATCTGTATATATGTATTTTACATATGAATACCTACAGTATCTATATATAGTATGTATTTTACGTACAATATCTATATATAATATGTATTTTACATACAAATCCATACAGTATCTGTGTATAGCATATCTTTTCCATACAGATCCATGCAGTATCTGTGTATATAATGTATTTTACATACAATATCTGTATATAGCCTGTCTTTTCCATACAAATTAATACAATATCTGTATATAGCATGTCTTTTCCATACAAATTAATACAATATCTGTATATAGCATGTTTTTCCATACAAATCCATACAGTATCTGTATATATCATGTATTTTATATACCCTATCTGTATATAGCCTGTCTTTTCCATACAAATCCATTCAGTATCTGTACATAACCTGTCTTTTCCATACAAATCCATTCAGTATCTGTCTATAGCATGTTTTTTCCATACAAATCCATACAGTATCTGTATATATCTTGTATTTTATATGCACTATCTGTACATAGCCTGTCTTTCCCATACAAATCCATACAATATGTATATATAGCATGTAATTTCTGTACAAATCCATACAATATCTATATATAGCATGTCATTTCTGTACAATCCCTGCCATACAAGCCTCCCATCCAGCCCCCACAGCTCCATCTCCCCCAGCTGGGGCTCGGGGCTGTTCAGCACCCCCCGAGAGGTAGCTGTGGTCTCACTGCCCGCTGTCCCCAGATCATCCTGGCCATCCTGGTGTCGTGGCTGCTNCAGGGGAAATCTCGGAGCAGGTAGGATGTGCTGGTGGCATTTCAGTGCAGCTTCAGGTGGTGGGAAGGAGCTGGAGAAGTCCCTGCTAAAGATAAATCAGGAGAGAGGTCCCTGCTAAAGACAAATCAGGAATTTCCTGGGGCCAAAGAGAAGAGGCTGCTCCAAACTCCCTCCGAGACTGAAGCAGGAGGGTGGCTTTTACACCAACAGAAAATGAAGTGTGTGGGTTCTGGGCACCTTTTTCACATGTGTGAGATGGGGAAAATGCCCTGGAAGGCAGAGAAAAGCCTTTGAGGCGCTCCCTGGGTGGGAGCTCACAGGTGCCCCGTCCAGGCACAGCTCTGGGATGGAGCAGTTTGGATTTGTGGCTGTGGCTCTGCAGGCAGGACTTGGATTGCATCCTTTGAGTATTTCTCGGGCTTTTTTCACCTGGGTGATGGGAGGTTTGTTAAAAATTGTGGAATTTTTAACAGGGGAGAGCCTTTTTTCCTAGGCAAACACGCAGCACCTTTGGGCGCCTGTGAGCAGCAGAGTTCTCCTTTAAGGGAGTCGCTGTCCCTTTGCGTGTCTGCTGCCAAAAACACAATCTCACACCTTGGCTGTGTCCAAACACATCCTGTGAGTCCCAGAGGTGCCAAACACCTGCAGGTGCCAGGGAGGTGCTGAAATTCCAGAGGGACGGATGCTGGCTGAGCATCATCTCTGCTTGCGGGAGAAAGTTGGTCTGTTCACACCAGCCTGACAGCTCATTAAAATAATAAATTGATGATGGTAATTAAGCAGCGACCTTGATTTGATTCTAATCTCCTCCGTGGGTGCAGCAACCAGAGGATTTTTGGCTCCTCAGCCGTCTGTGCCAGCCAGGCTGTGACAGGGGACAGGGCCAGCGTGGGCTGTGCCACCCCAGCTGCTTTTGTCACCACGCTCCTTGTGCTTCCTCTGGGAATATTCAGTGTGCAGCAGGAAGGGCCACCAAATCCAGGCCAGGGTTGTCTGAAGGGACAGGGAAAGTCTGAATTATTTTGGTTGTCTCTGGGTGGTGGTGGGAATTTAGGATCCAGCTGGAATTCAGCCTTTGTGGTTTTAGAAGGGTTTTGGTTTGAGTTTGGCAGATAAGGGAACACACGGGGCTGGTTTCGCTTTGGAAAAACTGTAATTTCCAGGGCTGGCAGTCATGGGGGAGCCTGAGCTCCCTCCAGAGGGTTAAACCCCAGGTCTGCTCATTGCAAATGAGCTTTACAGCAGCACTGCCATGTCCTGGGCATGGCCACGGCCCGTCCTGCTGCTGCCAGGCCAACAGCACCTGGCAAAGCATTGACCCTTCTGAGAGGAGTTAAAAATCCCCAAACCAACCCAAAATGAGAGGAGAACCCCAAAACTTCCCAACTGCCTGGAGGTCAGGTGGGCTTTGTTTTTGCCAGGCTCTGGCTTCCAGTATTGATGTTGAAAGCCTTGAGCAGGGCAGGGAGGAGCTGCCGCAGCCTGAATCTGATCCAGGGAATGTTCTGGGTGTGCTTCAGCCCCAGCTTTGCCGTGCTTTGAAAGGAAACAGCGCGTGCAGGGCAGGTGTCAGTGTCCCCCTCATGGCCACTTTTCCTGCCAGTGAACTCTTTGTGTCCGTCTGCACCTTCTGTCCTGCCCAGTTACCCCTTGGGCCTGCTGAGGAGATGATGAAAAAGGATTTGTACCGACTCACAGGCAGTTGGTACCTGGGAAACTGGGAGCTTTTCTGGGGCGGATTTTCCTGTAGGAAAACCTTTGTGCTCCAGGGCATGTTTTTATTTGTGGTGGAGGTTCCAGAGCAGAAACTTGCAGGGAGAAAAAGAGCATTTAAATGCATTGTAGGTCTCCAGATCTCTGATGGGTTTCATCCTTTTTCCACGAGCTTTGGTTTCAATGCAATGGCAGCGGCCTTGGCAAAGGGAAGGTGTGGAGGGTGGTCCTGGGAGCATGAGGAGGGGGTGTTGTGTCACACCAGACCCTGTCCCCTCTCCTGTCCCCTCCTGCTGCCTCTGGGGCTGGAGGAGCTTCGTGCTGATGGTGGAGGTGCAGGGTGGCCTCTCCCTGGCCTGGCTTTTCCTCCTGAACTTGCCCCTTTGTGTAAAGCCCAATCTTATCTGCAGCTCTGTAAAGGCCTGGCCTCTCCTGGGGTGACCCATGTGGGAAGGGAGTCCTGGCAGAAATTCCACTTCCAGCTTCCCATTGGACCCCAGCCTGCAGGTGATGGCTTGTGCTGAGTGTACCTGCCCCGTGCTCAATGGGCTTTCTCTCTTTTGTGTTATCTCTTTTGTGTTATCTCTTTTGTGTTATCTCTTTCTCCAGGACTTTTCAGCTCCCGAGGAGCTGGATTTGCTCTGGAGGGCTGTAAAAACTGACTCATGGTGGTGGGAGCTGATAAGGAGTGATCTCTGAGAGGCAGCAGCAGAGTTTATCTTCACCTCTCCGACACTCCTGATTGCAGAATCAAAGCATTCCCGAGCCCTCTGATGATCATTCAGTGCAGTTTTAATTGCCGGGGAGCAGCAGGAGGAGCTGGTTTGTGTTGGAGCAGCCCCTGGGGACACAAACCCTCCCTGTCCTTGGGAGGGCAGCCCTGGGGTTCTGCCTCAGTTGGGAGCTGTCTGTTGGGCATTGTTATTTCAGCTTGGAGCCAAGGCAAGCTTTGCTGTGCTGGTGCCATTCCCAGGGGTGCTGAGTGCCAGGGCACCCTGGAGCAGATCCTGGCAGCTCCCCTGGCTCACTTTCATGTATTGCTCCTCCTGAGGGAGGTGTCCTGCTGCCCCTTCCCTTCCCACCCTGACGAACTGCCGGACTCAGCCTCGCCCGTCTCCAGCTCTGATTTTCTTGGAGGATGCAGCACGTCTGCCCTGGCAGAGAAAGGCAGATTCTCCTCTCTGGTGTGCTAGGAAAAAAAAATAAATCCTCATTGTTGTGTGAAAGCAAACAGAAAAGCCCTCCAGAAATCCCAGCCCAGTGCCCCCAAACCTTTGAGCAGTACCTGTCTCCTCTGCCTGAGCTGCTCTGTGAAAATGGACATTGCAGCATTGCAGGCTTTTTCCAGAGCAAGAACAGTGAGTGTTCAAACCAGTCTCCTTCACTCTTCAAGTGAGAACTAATTAATTATGTGCCTTAATGTTTACTCTCATAAACAAATCTTAACTCTGATTTGCAGGCACTGCCTTCCATTCCATGTTGATTTAATTAATGCTTCAAGGGATCCCAGTGCCCAAATTGTCTTTTTTTATGGAACTTTTCAGGAGATGCCTCCATTGCTTTGAAAGTTTTAATGTTTCTTTCACCTCAAGGAACCAGAGTTTTCCAGCAAGTGGGCAATTAACAGCTATTAAGAGGTTCTAAAATATTAGTATTCATATATTAGTACAGTCCTGAATTGCCCTCAGCAGAAGAGTCTTTCTCAAGTTCAGTTATTATTGCAATTACAGTAGACAGGAGCTGCAGGCATTTCCTGAGCACCATCTGGAAGGGAGACTTCAGGAAAAACCCAAATTCTGCTTCTTTTTTCCCAATCCAAACCTGTATTTGAGTGTCCCTGAGCTGTGTTCCACCTTGGGGTTCAGCTGAACCCCTCATTAACTTGCTTTTGAATTCACACCAGTGTGAGTGGGTTCTGCTGCCTGGACGGGTGCAGAAAATTCCACTTTTTGTGCCTTTCAGGAGCCATTTTTGCAGGTTCTGTCCTGTACTTTCACCTGTACCTGGCCTGCTTTCACCTGCAGGTGCTGGCAGCTGCATTCTCTGTTTAAAGCTCAGTAGGCACAGGCTGCAAAACTTGGATTTTCTCTGTGTCCTTCTTCTTCATAAGTTTGGGTGGTATTGTGTAATGGGATAAAAAAGCCCACATTGCAGACTTGGAGTGATCAGTTACTGGGTTAAAAGTCAAAATAATTTGAGTGTCATCTCTTAATTGAATAGAAAGAGAGTTCACCATTTTGTGACTTGTTAGCAGAATGCTGTAGAACTCAAGACTTGAACTCTCATCTCAAGTGCCTTTAATCCCAACCTTAACAGAAATAAAGAGGCCAAGAACCATCATATGGTGAGGAGCAAACTCAGGACCCTTCAGATGATGAGCCTGACTTGTTTTCCTCCTAAAAAACCCTTCAGATGATGAGCCTGACTTATTTCCCTCCTAAAAACTCCAATTTCTCCCTTCCCTCGCAGGAGCTGTTGATGGGAAGGACGCGCTGATGTCCCAGCTGGATTTCTGAGCTCCTCAGTGACTCCTGGAGCTGCTGCTGCTGCTGCTGCTGGAACAAGGAGCTGTCCTTTGCTCTTGGGCTGTCCCAGAGGCACCTCCTGGGTGCTGCATGCAGGTCCTGGACGTGCTGGACACCATGGGGATTGGCAAGAACACCACGGCCAAGTCGGTGGAGGCAGGAGGGGGCTCCACGGAGGGCAAATACGAGGATGAGTCCAAGCACCCCACCTTCTTCACCCTGCCTGTGAGTGAGCCCAGGGCAGGGAGTGATGTTCCAGGTGTACAAACCCTTCCTTTGCATGAGCAGTCAATGACAAAACTCGGAATATTTGTGTGTAACACAGCCAGCCCTGCTGTGTGTGCTCATTCCCAGGACATGGAGCTCCCCATGGTCAGAGCAAATACGAGGATGAGTCCAAATAATGCTCCAGTAATGCTCCAGGTGTACAAACCCTTCATTTCCATGAGCTGTCAGTGACAAAGCTCTGAATATTTGTGTGTAACACAGCCAGCCCTGCTGTGTGTGCTCATTCCCAGGACATGGAGCTCCCCATGGTCAGAGCACCACAGAGGGCAAATACAAGGATGAGTCCACATAATGCTCCAGTAATGCTCCAGGTGTACAAACCCTTCATTTCCATGAGCAGCCAGTGACAAAACTCTGAATATTTGTGTGTAACACAGCCAGCCCTGCTGTGTGTGCTCATTCCCTGTTCCCAGGACAGGCAGTTCCCCATGGTCAGAGCAAATTGAGGGTGAGTCCAAGCACCCCACGTTCTTCACCCTGCCTGTGAGTGAGCCCAGGGCAGGGGGTGATGCTCCAGGTGTACAAACCCTTCATCTCCATGAGCAGTCAGTGACAAAACTGTGAATATTTGTGTGTAACACAGCCAGCTCTCTGTGCTCTCTGTCCCTGCTCTTACAGAAGTGATGCCTTGCCATGTTCCTCATGTTTTCTGACTGAATGTCAGAGCCAGATCTCAAGTACCCAGAGAGAAAATGATATATGAGGTGTGATGGCAGAGGTAAAGTTGATTTTACCTTCACCTATTTCTGTTTTTGTTGCTTTTGAAGGTTGTGATAAACGGCGGGGCCACGTCCAGCGGTGACCAGGACACAGAGGACACGGAGCTGATGGCCATCTACACCACGGAGAACGGCATAGCAGAGAAGGTACTGGGGCTGAGTTCCTGTGGAACAGGCTGCCTGGGGCTCCCTGCTGCTGGCAGCTCATTGTTGGTGCTTTGCTTTCCTGTCCCAGAGCTGCTGACCTGCACATCCACAGCTCCCCAGGCCCTGCTGCCCTCGTGGCTCCTGGTCACACTCTGTGGCTGCAGCACTCGGGCCGTCACTCAGGAAGTGGTGGGAGCAGTCCGTGCCCTTGGGTGGGGTTTTTCCAGCTTTTTTCTCCATTCTTTCATTCCCTGGCTCTGTTCAGTGATGATCCTGCGAGCTGAGATGGTGTGAGTCTGAGCTTTGTTTAAAAAAAAGGATGAGGATTATGGTAAACTGAACTTCCAAAATGTTCAGTCCAGCTGGCTTTTTTGTCTCTGAAAAGCCTCAGCTAAGTTTCTCATGAAACTTCATGACCTAAGTTTCTCAAATGCCCTGATTGAAACAGGAACAAAACTCCTGGCTCCAAGCAGGGACACCATGNTTCTGTTGGTTTTCAATGGCTTTAGGTGGAGTTGTGGAGGTGCTGCTGCAAATTTTTGGTTTTTATTGTGATTTTATTGGAGCCCTGGGCGTTGGTTACGCCAGGAGAGCTGAACTTGGAGAAGGAGGGAGGGAAAAAGAGAGAAAAGGAGAGAAAAGGAGAAATCTTTCCCTCAGCTCCTGTCAGGTGCCGTGGGTGCTGCTCAGTGATGGAAGCCCCTGGAAAGGGCCCAGCTGGTGCTGGCAGCTCAGGAGAGCTCCGTTCTGTGCTTTCAGTGACCCAGCAGAGCTCGGGCAGGAACTTTCTGGAACTTTCTGCCTCTGGAGCCGCGTTTGGCTCGGTCTGCAGCAGCCCCTGCCTTTCCTGGCAGCATCTCCCATTTCTGCACCTCCGCCTTCCCCACCAGGGTTTCCCCAGGGATGGCACAGCCGGGCTCCCACAGGATTCCTGTGCCCGGCACGATGGGCCCTGGCCAGAAATGTTAATTAGCTGAGCAGCTCCAAGCAATTACCAGTTGTTCCCTGCAGGGAAAGCCACGCTGGGCTCTGAGCAGGGTTTTGGTTTTTATTTTGCTGATGGCTCCTCTCCTCTCGTGGGAGGGCTTTGGGAGAGCAGAGACGCTGCACCTGCAGCCTCAGCCACCCACGGCTTCACGGGTATGTATTGGGTCCAATCAGGGCACCACTCAGAAATCCTTTCCTTTTTCCTGGAGTAGTCTCAGCTCTGCTGTTATGTGGGTGTTCACGCTCATCATGCATTCATGATTAACGGTTTTATTCCTGTTTAATGTTCTTACTATTGCAAGTTAGTTTTAGACTTCAGTGTGGCCCCAAAAGCATTTTCAGCTGTGGAGATCATCAGGGAAATGTCGTGTAATGTAATTTCAAGGCCAGTAACGCTCTACGGTGCTTGCATTTTGTATTCCTGGGAAACCCATACCAGTAGATCCTGTAACCCCCTGATCTATTTATCCACGTGTGACTACTGGGCAGGAGCTCTGTTTTCTCTCCGTCTGCTCCCAGGGGAATTCGTTGTGGGTTTTTGAAGCATGGGCGGGTTGGGGTGGGGAGGGCGAGGACGGAGCTGGGTAGTGTAGAGTGGGAATGGCTCGTGGAGCCCGTTCTCAGCATGCCGTGGCTGTTGCCACAAACTGTTTTCCCCCGTTGTCCCCGTGCCCAAGCATGCCTTTGTTCCCGCTGCCCTCGGGGAGCGCTCGCTGGTTCGCAGCCCTGGTGTCGCTCGGAGCTGCTCCCGAGTCGTTGTGTGGTAGACGAGGTTGGTTCGCCTGTGAAACAAAACACAAAAAGTCATTTTTGCTCATTTTTCAGTGTTTTCCTCCCCAGGGAGCGAGGTGTCGGGCTCCCCTGCCTGCCTGCACGCAGTTTGGGTGTGGGCGGATTGCAGATCCCCCAGCAGGGCTGGAGGATGAGGATGAAGCTGAAGGTTTGGGGAGCATTAAAATCCCAAATTCCAGGATTTGGATGCCAATGCTGAGCAGGGCTGGAGGGTGAGGATGAAGCTCAAGGTTTGGGGAGCACTAAAATCCAAAATTCAGGGATTTGGATGCCCATGTTGAGCAGGGGTGGAGGATGAGGATGAACCTGCAGGTTTGGGGAGCATTAAAATCCAAAATTCCAGGATTTGGGTGCCCATGCTGAGCAGGGCTGGAGGATGAGGATGAACCTGCAGGTTTGGGGAGCACTCAAGTCCCAAATTCCAGGATTTAGGTGCCCGTGCTGAGCAGGGCTGGAGAGGATGAAGCTGCAGGTTTGGGGAGCCCTGAAATCCCAAATTCCAGAGATTTGGGTGCCTGTGCTGAGCAGGGCTGGAGAGGATGAAGCTGAAGGTTTGGGGAGCACTAAAATCCCAAATTCCAGGATTTAGGTGCCAATGCTGAGCAGGGCTGGAGAGGACGAAGCTGCAGGTTTGGGGAGCATTAAAATCCAAAATTCCAGGGATTTGGGTGCCTGTGCTGAGCAGGGCTGGAGGATGAGGATGAAGCTGCAGGTTTGGGGAGCACTCAAGTCCCAAATTCCAGGATTTGGGTGCCTGTGCTGAGCAGGGCTGGACAGGATGAACCTGCAGGTTTGGGGAGCCCTGAAATCCCAAATTCCAGNCGGGGGCTGCGTGGCCTTCGTGCTGGACAACACCATCCCAGGTGAGCCTGAGCCTGGGAGCATCCCTGGGGAGGGCAGGAACCCCTGGGAGAAACAGCATTCCCTGGAGAAAGGCAGAAATCCCTGGGTGTAAACAGCATTTCCTGGAGAAAGGCAAAAATCCATTTTAAATGGCAGAAATCCCTGGGTATAAACAGCATTCCCTGGGGAAAGGCAAAAATCCATTTTAAATGGCTGAAATCCCTGGGTGTAAACAGCATTCCCTGGAAAATGGCTGAAATCCCTGGGTATAAACAGTATTCCCTGGGGAAGGGCAGGAATCCCTGGGGAAGGGCAGGAATCCCTGGGAGAAACAGTATTCCCTGGGGAAAGGCAAAAATCCATTTTAAATGGCTGAAATCCCTGGGTATAAACAGCATTTCCTGGAGAAAGGCAGAAATTCCTGGGTAAAAGCAGCATTCCCTGGAAAATGGCAGGAATCTCTGGGATAAACAGCATTCCCTGGGAAATGGCTGAAATCCCTGGGTATAAACAGTATTCCCTGCAGGAAGGCAGAAATTCCTGGGTAAAAGCAGCATTCCCTGGAAAATGGCTGAAATCCCTGGGTATAAACAAAATTCCCTGCAGAAAGGCAAAAATCCCTGCAAAGTGGCAGAAATTCTTGGGTATAAACAGCATTTCCTGGAAAATGGCAGGAATACCTGGGTGTAAACAGCATTCCCTGGAGAAAGGCAAAAATCCATTTTAAATGGCTGAAATTCCTGGGTATAAACAGCATTCCCTAGAGAAAGGCAAAAATCCATTTTAAATGGCTGAAATCCCTGGGATAAACAGTATTCCCTGGGGAAGGGCAGGAATCCCTGGGTGTAAACAGCATTTCCTGGAGAAAGGCAGAAATTCCTGGGTAAAAGCAGCATTCCCTGGAAAATGGCAGGAATCCCTGGGTAGAAACAGCATTCCCTGGAGAAAGGCAAAAATCCATTTTCAATGGCTGAAATCCCTGGGATAAACAGCATTCCCTGGAGAAAGGCAAAAATCCATTTTAAATGGCAGGAATCCCTGGGATAAACAGTATTCCCTGGGAAATGGCTGAAATCCCTGGGTAGAAACAGCATTCCCTGGAAAAAAATAGAATTCCCCGGAGAAAAGCAGAATTCCTAGAAGAAAAGTAAAATTCCCTGGGTAAAGGCAGAATTCTCTGGATAAAAGCAGAATTCCCTGGATAAAAACAAGAGTTCCCTGGGTAAAGGCAGAATTCCCTGGGGAAAGGCAGAACACCAGCAGCAGATCCTGCTTTTGAGCCCTTTCCACAGCAGGAACAGAATCCTTACCTGCCCTCCCTTCNGTGTGGGAATCAGGGCAGAGCAGCTCAGGGCAGTGGCCTGGAGCTTTTCCCTGTCAGCAAATCCTTCCCTGGGAGGGTGGGGAGGCCCCAGAGCAGCTGTGGCTGCCCCTGGCAGTGCCCAAGGCCAGGTTGGGCAGGGCTTGGAGCACCCTGGGATGGTGAAAGGTGTCCCTGCCCATGGCTCCTTCATGGGCCTGCATGGGCTTTAAGGTTCTTCCAGCCCAAACCATTCCATGGTAATGTGAGTTTGAGCAGAGAGGAGACGACAGTGGCCAAAAATGAGGCGTGGAGAGCAGAACTTGGTAAAGGAGGAGCCACTGGCTGGGTGGAGTTGAGTGCTGTAGAAAAGGGGATTTAACAGAACACCAGAGGGAGGAAATGCAGTGAGCAGTTTGTGTTTCTGGGCTGGAGCCCACTGGTGGTGCTGCTCCCTCTGCCTTCCTGTGCCCAAGAGGAATTTGTGTGAGATGGCAGAGGGCACAGGGGTGGCCATGAACCTCTCCAGAGGCTGAGCCATGAGCAGAGATCCCTGCCAGGGGACAAAAAGGCTTTGAGAGGGAATTCCAGGGCCTGGGACCTGTGTGCATCAGGGAAATGAAGGAATGAAAGGGAATAAGTGAGGGAAATGAAATGAAGAGAAAAGCTCCCCGTGTGGGTAAGCAGCAAATGAGGCTGGAAACCCCNTTTCCACAGCAGGAACAGAATCCTTACCTGCCCTCCCTTCCCCGAGAGCACCTCAGGTTAAAATCCCGTCCTGTAAAACACCTGAAAACCCTGATAAAACCAAACCAGTCTCCAGGAGACACAGTAAAACCGGGATGGAGATCCAAACCTGCTTCCATTCCAAAGGAAAAGTTTGCATTGACTTCCAGTTAGAAAATAAAGCAGATAATGTGATTTTTTTTCCCCTTTTTGAGGAGCCTGGAACATCTTCCCAGAGCTTTGTGTCCACGTCAAGGTACCCATATGAACATAAACCCATTTTCCTCCTTTCACTCTGATTCCCAGGAAGCCCCGAGGAGAGGGGAATTCGGAAATGGAAGAAAGGGGTCGGCAAAGGCAGCAAATCCCTGGATGGCATGGAAACCTACGATCTGCCTTTTGGCATGAACTTCATTAAAAAGTACAGGTGTTTCAGCTTCCTGCCCATCAGCCCCACCTTCGTGGGCTACACGTGGAAAGGCTTCAGGAAAAGCAGCAGCTGCAGGAGTTCAGATGAAGACTCAGAAGCTACAGTATAGCCTTAGCTGAAATTCTATTATCTAGTTGTAGTCAGAGATGTATTTGCAGTTTCTTGCTGATTAAGAAGCATTAAAATATATGTTTTGTATATCTGCATTTAAATTCTGGAACCAGAGCTGAGACNATTTGAATTTTTACTAAAATTTCCTGTGTTTAAGAGGATCTGAGGCTCAGGAAGCAGAACCCCAGAGTGTTTCCCAGGGGTGCTGGAGCCTGAACCGTGAATTTCAGTGACTCCATGGGGAGCAGATGCCCCTGTGGCCCTCAGGAGCACCCCAGGGAACGGTGCCTGCCCCAACGTGGCTCTTGTGTTCTCTTTGGGGTTCCAGGGGGATTTTCATCGAGGGGCTCTCCTGTGTTCTGGATGGAGTGTTTGGCACAGGGAATGGATCCACCTCCTCCAGCCCCAACATTGGGGTCCTGGGCATCACAAAGGTGAGAAGTGCATTGCTCTGAGCCCTCAGGGGTTCCTTGTGTTCATGATCCTCTTCCATTCCTGTGCACACAAACTTCCCAGACCATTCTGAGTGTCTGTACTGACTCTTGTCCGAGGGAAATGCATTATTGTTCATCAGGACCTCAAAAATCCTTTTATTCAGACTAAAATGCAGTTAGAATCCCCATAAAGCAGATGGCTGCTGCATAAACTCTCTTGGAAAAACCCAGGCAGCATTCCAGGGCTCTGGGGTGTTTGAATTGAGGCATAAACCCTGTAAACTGTGCAGAAATTGCTGCTTTTTGGGTGTCTTGCTCTGAATGCATCAGCAGGAAGGGATTTTTTAATGCCTCACACAGAGTAAAATGCAGCGTGAGGTGCTTGGGCTTTACCTGAGTCTGTACTGGGCCAAGGTCATTTCAGGGCTAAAAGGACCCTCAGTATTTGGTTTAAGGCTCAGGGGTTTGTGTGTTTCTGGTGATGCTGCTCAATAAAATGTGTGAGTGCTTGAGGGGCTCCTCTGCTCTCGTGTGGGGCTGGGTCTGTGCCTGGCTGGGCTGGGAGGCCTTGGCTGCACAGAAATCTGCCTGATAATGTTAATTTAACCTTGGTAGGGAACACCAAGAGTGATTTATGTTGTACATAGTTCCACCTTGCTGGGTGTGGAACGTGGGAGCCATAAATCCTTCGTGCAAGGATAGAAAATTATCTGATCACACATAAATGATGTATTTGTCCTCAGCCCTCCCTTGCGCTGCACAAAGGGTGATTCTGCTGCTTTGGGGTGCAGTTCAGCACGAACAGCACCATCTGCTGTCTGTACCAGCCACCTCCCAGCTGATGGAAATCTCCTAGGAGAGAAGTTGTGCTCACAAAAAACCCTTAAAGAAAGGTTCATTCTGTTCTGCTGCCTTCCATTGTTACTTGATGGGGGTTGAGATGAATTAACAGCGCATTTTTTGTGAGCAGCCCACAGAACTGAGTGTGCATTTCGTGCTGGGGCAGTGGAGCTGCCCAGGCTGTGCTCCTGTTCCCTCTCTGCACTTCCATTCCCCAAAACCCAGCAGTTCCTCAGCTCCAGATAGAATTTTGGCACAGAATTTTGGCACAGAGATGCTCTGCTGTTGGTTTGGGACAGGAGATCTCCGGTGTTGCATCACCAGGGCTTTTCCCTGCCTTGAAATCAGTGTGTAATTGCACTCAAATTTAAATCCTGCTGGATGGAGGTGCTGCAGAGCCTCTGAGCTTTGTGTGTTTTACTTGATGAGAGCAAGATAATTAACTCTGATTAGCTGGGGCTAAAGCAGCTCCTGCCAGGGGGGTGATGCTGAAATGGAGGCTCCAGGTACCATTTGATGCACTCCAAAATAATCACTCCAAAATAAGTGTGTGTGTGTGCTGGGAATAAATCCAGAGCCTGAGCTGAATGCTGCCTGGGATGTTTTCAGTAGCTTTAATTTGTTTGCATAAATAAATGTCACTGTCATGCAGCTTTTCAGAGGATTTGCCTGTTTCTGGCAGGAAGAGAAATGTAGGGCAGGATCTCATTGGTTCAACAGAAATGAATATTTCTATAAAGAGCAGAGAAAGGTGCCAGCTAAATCCTGTTGTAATTCCAGTTTCGGTGCAGCAGAGCTCTGTTTGCAGGGGAGGGAGCTCACCTGGAACTCAGCACTGAGCAATGGGGGCAAGAATGGATTTTCCCCTCCCCAGACCTGTTGGATCTGCAGTTTCTCATTTCTCTCATTCAGCTCAGTCACACACGATGAACAAATGAGTATTTCCATTTTGAACCCTGGGGACCTGCAAAGGGCTTTTCCAGAAACCACCTCAATGTAAAGGAGTTTTTGTTGTTCCTGGGGCACCTTTTGTGGCAGTGGAAGATGTTAAAGTACCAAGTTCAGGTTTATCCAGTTCCCCTGCACCACAGAGAGCCTGCTTGAATCTTGGGTGCTTAAAATAAAACTGGGAAGGAAGTGCAGGCCTTGGTTTCAGTGTTAGCACAGCCCTGATTTGCATTCAGCCCTGCTCTCTGAGCTTGGGCTGACCTAAGCCTAAAAATCCTGCCCCTCCTTCCCACAAACTGTTTCATCTGTTCCAGTGTCCCAGGGCAGCAGCACACAGGATTTATTTGATATATTTCCATTTCCATTTTGCTTTCTGTCCCACAGCTGGGTTCCACCAGCTTTCCTGGTGGCTGTGGCAGTTCCAGATGGTTTCAGGGCTGGCCTGGGGAGGCTGAGCGTGGCTGCATCAGCTGAGCCCTCCAGCACCAAAACAAAAACACTCTCAGTGTCACATTCACATTCCCTGAAAAATCCTTTCTACTGGGAAGCTGAGAAGCCTCAGAGAAAAGGAGAACAATTCTTATCTCATTTGCTTCTCCTGTGTTTGGAGATTGTTTACCCACAGGAGATTGTTTTATTTGTTTTTGCTGTGAGTTGTTTCTGCTGTGAGTTGTTTTGTCTCATTGGCCAAGCTGTGTCAGGACTCTGGAAAGAGTTCCAGATTTTCATAATTATCTTTTTAGCATTCAATAAGTATTATTTCTGTATTCTTTAGAATAGTATAGTATCTTTAAATGTATTATAGTATATATAATATATATATACTGTAATATATATATCGTATAGTATAATATACAGTATAATACAGTGTAATATATATAGTATAGTATAATATGTATATAGCGTATATATATACTATATATATACTATATATATATATGATAATAAATATACTATGGTATATATAACGTATATATACACCTGTGAGTACAGTAACACTAGAGCTACAGAGCCAAGCTGTGTCTAGACTTTGGAAAGAGTCACGAGTTTTCATTATTATCTTTTTAGCATTCTGTAAGTATCCTTTCTGTATTCTTTAGTATAGGATAGTATTTTTAAATATAGAATATATAGTATAATATATATATATAGTAGATATATATACACACTATATATATATATATAGTATGTATATAGTATATATGTGTATATATATACACACACATATATATATAAAGTATATATATACACTATATATATACTATATATATACTGTGTATACTATATATAGTATATACTATATATACTATATATATTATGCTATGCTATATATATTATACACACTATATATTATATATATAGTATATACTATATATATAATATAGAGAGTGTATAATATATATATAGCATATTATAATATATATAATATATGTAGTATATACAATATATACCATAGCAAATATACTACAGTACATATCATTCATATATTTACACCCTCGAGTACACTAACCCCGGCACCAGGAAGGAGCTGCAGTGGAGCCTGAGCTGCAGAAGCCCCAGTGGGTGTGGGGCTGGGCGGGGCAGCCCTGACCGTGCCCTGTTCTGTTCCCTGACCGTGCCCTGTGCTGTTCCCTGCCCTGACCGTGCCCCGTGCTGTTCCCTTTCCCTGCAGGGCAGCCCTGACTGTGCCCCATGCTGTGCCCTGCCCTGACCATGCCCTGTGCTGTTCCTGCAGGGCAGCCCTGACTGTGCCCTGTGCTGTTCCCTGCCCTGACCGTGCCC